TTATCCTCAAGGACTAGCTTATTATAGGCACTAAATGTTTGTTGAATAAATAACTGAACGAAGAAGCAGGTACTTGGTTCTATTAGTTGAACAAATTAATGTGAATACTGTGCAAACCTAGGCCCCGAGGTTTCTTGGGAGCCCAAAGTAAGAGAAACAACTGTGACAGGACTCCTGGAAGAGAGAGAGCAAAGCTTTAAGGCTCAGCTACAGAGAACAAGCCAATGTGAACTACCACAGCATTTTTAAAAATCTACCTTATTTTAGAAGAATAGAAAGAAATTAGCAATTGACATATGAATTTTTAAGAATTATTAATTACGTAATTTAGAAAAAAGACCTTGAATAGTGTTGAAAGTTGGATTAGTGGGTAACATCCATCCTTTTGCCCTAAAATCTTTATCTGTATTAATGGCTTCCAAATAGGCAACATATTTTTTAAAACTGATAATTGTGGTTTTTACTGTGTAGTCATTTAAGGTCAAATGACTTTTCTGTGAACTGATTCTAATCAATCAACTGGGCAAATGCCACAGTTTTTTTTCAGTGACTAAATGTAAAATGATAGCATCTCTTTCTTCTCCTGACTCTATTCTTACCTCCATCCTTTCAATCCCCAAGTATTGCTTTAAAATAATTCTTTTTATTGAATAAATAACATTGTAGGAAATTAAACACAGAATTTCTTCCCCTTTGCATAGCAACTACCCATTTTTGATGACCTCTTCCAATCTTTATTAATATAGACAGCTTTATAGAGTTGTAATCATGAATATGATTTGTGTTTATGTTTTTTGCTTATTAATACTTGTTCACGTATTTACTATTTCAAAGGTTACCTGCTATTTGATGAAATTGATGTACCGCAGGCTACTCCACCATTTGAGTTGTTTCTAGTATTCCACAATAATAAACAATGCTACCAGAAAGCTTTGTATAATTTTAAAAAATTTGCATAATTTCTTAAAATGTGTATAACTTAAAAAGTATTTCCTTATTCTAATATTAAATGCATAAAGTTAACATATTTTTAGAATGTACAATTTATAAATTACTTTCACAAAAATAATTTTAATGCTAACATCAGCACTATGGGATAGATGTCTTTCCCTGAAGGTTCTTTGGCACCATGGTTTAATAGTTTTGCTAACATAAAGAGTGAAATGAACCCTGAAGGAAGGAACATGTAATGCAAGAAGCAGTGGAAATCAAAGAGGCTGATAAATATGTTGGTAAATCTAAATAAGTCATGCTGGTTTAAAAAATAACTTATTTAGGGATTTCAAGACAAGGAGGAACAAAAATACTAAGCATGATAATGTGGGAGATGGAAGTACTGATCAGTCGGTGCATTTTATGGTTCTTATACTGTTTGGAAGATGCTAAATATACTCACTCTAGACTTCAAAATAAGCACTTGAAAAATTTAAGAGTAACCACTAAAAGAACAGAAATAGAATGTGCAACTTCCAAATCACCAGAATAAACAAGAGAATAAAGAAACTTACATCAATCTTGAAACCAGGAAAGGAGAAAAAGAAGCAAAGAAAAGATATGAGAAATACACCTAAATTATCAGAAATTACAATGAGTGAAAACAGATTAAAGTCACTTATTAAGAGGCAGATACTATAAAATTATGTCAAAAATCATGTAACAGTTATTTTAAAGAGAGACATTTCACACAAAATGACATTAAAAGGTTGATAATCAAGGGATAGAAAGATGCACTGGACAAATATTTATCAAAAGAAAGCTGATGTATAAGATAGTATGTCATAGTAGTTTAAAGTGAAACAAAACACTTTCATTAATGATTTACTGAGAAATGGGGTCTTGACTAATTTGCTGGTGTAGTCCTATTTTATTATAAGGATTACTAATTTTTATTGGAAATCTTTTCTACATCCTTCCTTGAATCATGATTTTAGTTTTTAATTTCCTATTGTTATAAAGTTGAACATTTTTGTAATGGAATCTGGCTATCCTGTCATGTCCATTTTTCCCTTCAACTTACTATTTTTTTCTGAAGTATTCTGAAGTAAATTACACAAAGCATGACATTCTATCTTAACACGTCCATCCGTTTCTCAAAAAAAAGGATCATTTTCTTATATATTACACATCTAATATAACAAAATTAACAATTACTTTTTTAGCATTTAGTTTCCAGGCTTCATTCAAATTTCCCCATCTGTAAGCAAAATTTCCTTCACATCACTATGTCCAAACTGGGATCCAATTTAAGACTATGTGTTGCATCTAGGTGACATGAAACTCAAACCTCCTAATTTGCAACAGTCCTTTAAACCAAGTTTTTTAGACTCTACAACGGTCCTTGTTTTACTGACACTTATCTGAGAACTTGGGCCAATGTCTTGTTGACACATCCCACCTTCCAGATTTGCCTTTTCCTTTTTTGTGGTGCTGTTATCGTAATCATGAATTCCTGTTAACTGGAATTTAAATCCAAAGGTGTGATTAGATTCAGATTAAACTTTTTTTTTTAAGTAAACTGAGTAAGAGAGAAATGCTGGGTACTTCGTGTTAACATCACAGCAGGAGACATATGTCTGGTTGTCCCAGTCATTGCTAATTTCTTATGCTACTTTGAGTCATAAAAATCTCCTTTAAAAGAAGGGTAATTACATTTCTGGACTTTTCTTTTATTGCTTTCAGAAAGATCTAGGTCTTCATCCACCTAGAATTTAAGAGTGTTGGGTGAAATAAGGTACGGATTTGCTTTTTTCTTCCTACTGATAATCAAGTACCCAAGCATTTATTTAAGCGGTGGTGGTGGGAAAAAAATGGTCTTGGTGGTTACATACTTGTTTACATTTATCGAAACTCATTGAACTGTACCCTGGAAAAGGGTTAATTTTATGTTTGTAAATTATGCTTTAATAAACCTGACTTTAAAAAATGGGCTTTAATTTTTAAAATATTTGGTTTGTCACATAAGGTCTTACTGTATAATTTCAATCTGTTTTGTTCCATTGGTAATTTTTAAAATGTATTGTAAATTGACACTTTCATGTTTCTTAACTTGGTACGGCAGAGACTACTCACTGGTCTCCTCCACTTGCATCCTTTGACATGTGAATTTTAGTTTAGGTATTAAATTCTGTAAATGATTATCTTGGTATTGTGTGACTGGAGGGCATTTCCTACATTTTTCTACCTCAGTAATCCAAAGTTTTTGTTTTGATTTTAATGTCTTCCACTATTGTTTGTAATTTTTCATGTAGGTCCTTGTATGTGATATTAAGTTGGTGTCCAAAAATCAGTATTTTAAGTAATTTTCCGTAATTTCTCTTTTCCTTGTTTTATTACTTTCTCTTAACATACAGACAGCTGTATGTACTTGAAGTATAGAACCTGATTACTTTGGAGGTGAGTACACACCAGTGAAACCATGACCACAATCAGTGCCATTGCATATTCCATCGCCTCCAAGTTTCCTCTTACCGTTTTTATTACTTTTGGGTGTGTGTGGTAAGAACACAATGATAACGGGGGTTCTTGTTCATAAACACTCAAGGTAGGGGAATAAGGTACAGGCTTTTATTTAGAGATAAAGTGAAAGGTCACGCCAGGAGGGGACAAAAGAGTCCAGGGTGGTGCATTGTCTAGGGATTTTATAGGCAGTTGAGGATTTTGGTGAACATGAAAAAAGCTTAGGGGTGTGTACTTATTAAGTGGTTCCTGAATATTTAGAATTAACTTAGCACATGCAACTTCCTGCTCTAATGATTTCTCCCTGAGATACCAGCATCCTGGTCTGGGAGCATATCAAACAAGGCCACCTGCCCAGCCCTCAAGATGGGCTGAGGTATTGTTTGCTAAAGAGTTAAGTTAAAAATTTCTAACTTCTTAACTTCTTGGGTATTAAAATGCAATCTTATCTTTAAGGTGGAATCCTTCTTGCCTTTTACTATGTTATTTATGCCTGGGCTTGCTAAATTAGTTGCCCAGTTTGCAAAATCACCTCATCAGATCTGAAGGAGGGAAGACTGCACATAGGCTTGGGCCTTTTAGCAAGCTAAAGTGAATCTTACACATGATTACAAATGATTAGCATAATAAAAACATGTGCTACTCTTCTTTATCTGGGGAATATTAATTGATCTCACTGAAGAATGACTCTATAGCTGAATGTTCAACACAGTTTTGGCAGGGGGTTTCCTTGCATGTAGTTACATTGCTCTGACTGCAAATATCCTGCCTTTCTTTTTCCGCAGGCCCTCACTCTACTCTGACTACACCCAAGATCCCTGTCTCAACAAGATGTACCGTTTAGGAAATTTTTAAGAACATAAAATAGTGTTAACTATAGGCACCATGGTGTACCGTAGGTCTCTATCTTGCATAACTGAACCTTTGTTATTTTAAAGGTACCTATTCGTATATTGTGGTAGTACTTATAGGAGTGGATTTCCTTCACATATTTGCGTAACATTTTATAGTTTTATAAAAGCAGCTCCTAAACTTTTGGTCCTAAATACCTCTCTACAGTCTTAAAAATTGCTGAGGACCCCAAAAGAGCTTTTATTTGAATTATAACTCAATATGTACTCAATTAGAAATTAAAACAGATTTTTAAAAATATACAAGCATACATCCATTAGCCGTCACTGAGACGCCGTCATCATGTCATGTGACCACTAGAAAACACTACCTTAGGGAGCGATTAAAAGTGAAAAAGGCAAATAATGTATTAGTATTGTTAGAAAGTAGTTTCGACATCAGCGGATACCGCACCCCTCTCCATTCCAGGAGTCCCGAGGTGCCACTCTGAGAATCGCTGTCCGTCACAATTCTTTGTAATTCCTTACTGCAATTCGTTCCTCTCGGCGCCGCCCTACCCGCAGCTGGATCCGCTACCCAACAGTCTCGGGTGATACTGCTCCCGGAAGCCGGAGATGCGCGCGCACCGCGAGCCTCCGCCTTCCCGGCGTGCCCCGGGCCTGCGGCGTAAACGCGCGCGGGCCGTAGTGGCCCACTTGACCCGCGGGGCCGCCGAGGCGGGAATCTGTGAGTGTGCGCGGGCGCGGGGTGCCGCGGTCGGCGTTCCGCGGGCAGCCCCGGGCCGGTCCCCACCCCCGCTCTCGCCCGCCAGCCGGGAAGGAAGTTGGTGTAGGAGGAAGGGTTCCAGCCAGAGCCTTCGCTCCCACCTGGAGACTCCCGACCGCGAGACCCGCGAGTCCTCACGTCCCGCGCTCGCCTTGCGCTCCTAACCCTTGCTGGGCCTCGGGCTCTGGGTCCCTGGTGTTGAGAAAAGAAACATTTGCAAATATGTCCCGGATCGAAAAGATGAGCATTCTGGGCGTGCGGAGTTTTGGCATAGAGGACAAAGATAAGCAAATTATCACTTTTTTCAGTCCTCTCACAATTTTGGTTGGACCCAATGGGGCGGGGAAGACGGTAAGTCCTGAGTAGCCGCCTTCAGTTTCCGGGTCGCCACATATTACGCATCTGGAGAATAACACATCTGGGGAGTTCAGAACGCTGGTTAGAACGAGAGGCGTCTCTATGGCTTTTAGGACCCCAGGAAGTGCATGGGCCTCCGGGTGGCTCCCCAGCCCCGGGGCATGGCTCGGTGTGACCT